ATACATATTAGGTTGTCAAAAAAGTCTTGCGGTATTTTCGCTAGTTGGCGCTGAGAGCGCGTAGTTCTAGTTTTATTCGTCGCATCGGCTCATGCTATACCTTTTTGGAGAGCTCATTTCACGCGCTAACACGTGTTTGATTGATTGTCGTTTCTTTTACGTCGTTCGTGAGTTGTAGCGTCGCAAACATAGAGGAAAATAAAGAGAAAATACGGCATATTTTACAGAACTATTACGATAAAGGCAAAAATGCTTCTCAAGCCGCCAATAAAATTTGTGCAGTTTATGGACCCGATACAGTTTCCATTTTCACCCCACAACGATGKTTTCAACGTTTTCGTTCTGGTGTAGAGGTGGTCAAAGATGCGCCACGCTCCAGAAGCCCTGTCGCAGAAAACTGCGATAAAATCGCTGAATTACCGGCATAGTAGCAGCCGTAGCATCGGTCAAGAGCTGGGCATGAGTCATCAAAAAAAATTGTATAAACAATTGATAACTAAAAAAAAATCAATAAAAATACCTCAAGACTTTTTTGACAAACTATTATTTATGTCCGTAATCCTGTTTCCCATTATACTTTCTCTGTACGGAAAGCTCAATATATTTTCTTGACAATTGTTCCACCAGAGTTATAGTCCTTGTCAATTTCAAATTATAACTCATCTAAACTTAAAGAAATTCCTCTCATATATATATTGATAGGAAGCATTTATTATTGCATCCAACTTTATGAGTTTTCATAAGCATAAGAATAAACACATAATGTTGCTTACATATACACACATCTTATAAACGCATCATGTTATGATTTTATTTTACAGGTGAGCACTTTGCATCCGAAACTTTTGAAAGTGGCTACAAAATAACTATGCGATTAACCATAAAGGATGTTGACACATCAGACTTCGGTTYTTACCGTTGTGTGGCGAAAAATTCTCTTGGTGATACGGATGGCACAATTAAACTCTATCGTAAGTGAACGATTAGTATGAAAAGCAAATATTTTTACAAATATCTATCATCAGAATAGCACAATACGAAAACACTGTAACATATTTAATTACATGGCCTTGTCACATTGTAGAGAAGAGGCATGTTTTTCTGATATGTGTACTGTCATCCGCAAGAAGGCCATAAAAGAGAGAATGTCGGTGAAATAATAATATCTGTGATCTTCGAAGTCAAGATGTTAAATTAAATTTTTTTTAAATAATTAGTTCATAATACAAAGCAATAAAGCACTTACTTAGGAAGATATTTCGTGATTTAGCAAGCCCAGTGTTGCCAACTGGCAACTTACATTTGCATCGTACAGTTTGACATTTTTGATGTGTAACTCAGGATGTTTTGACAGCATTACATGTGTTGTTTACAGTAACTCTAAATATTACACTCATGCGAAAAAATGGAGTTAAAACGCAAACATTTTCTGTTTCGTAAACCATTTATAAGATGCCAAAACTTATATAGCAGGAAAGCCATGTTTCTTATCGTTAGATTGAGATAACTAGGGAAATAGCGGTAACAGGCCACATTCAATATTTATTGGCTGTAAAATTTTTTGTTTAACGTTAGATCCCCATAAGTTGTCATTCACTCAAAAAAAGGCTAAAATCGTTTGGAGAAATGTTATAAAAAATAGCGATACTCCGAAACACGTTTTTGACATCGAACAGGTGATGAATTTTGAATTTACATATATGTTATAGGTGAGCCCGAAAGCAAACAGCAAGCGAGTCTATGGGTGTTTCCAGTTGAGCCGAATTTAACAAAAGTTTTTCGCGCATTAAACACTTCCAGCAAATGGTGATCTGATTGTTTTTTTTTAATTGGAACATAGAATAGTAAACTCTGAGTAGTAAACAACAATTTTTAAGAAATCAGCAAACCCAATCGCCAAGGACGAATCACACATCACCACAACAATGCCGGCTCTCGTACACGGAATGGAACAAATGSTTTTTTGAGCACTCAAGAGATTGGTTTGATGAGTCATCCTCTGTATGGTCCTTATTTCGCACCGAATGATTTTTTTGTATTCTAAGTAAAATATTAACCACGGTCAAGTCCTGAAGAAGCGGTTGATCAAAAGTACTTCGACAATTCTTCCAAATATACGAAAAACTTTATAGATCTTAATAATGAAGCGATTTGCGATGTAATATAAATATAAATTATTTGTTTTTGTTCTCTAGTCTTGAAAGACAACCCTCGCAAAAGCCACCGTACTCGCCCGATTTAGCTTCTTGTGACTTCTGGCTATTCAGTAAACACAAACAAGCGCTGCGGGGAAACCCTTTAGACTCATTTGAAGACACTAGTGTATTGTGACGAAGGAGGACGATATGGATTCCGAAGAATAAATTAAAAATTTTAAAAGTATGAAAAATGTCTTATTATTTTTTACCCACTGTAGTTCAATAGACTGTGCTAAAAGGACATGCTCGTACTTATAATACGAAGTGCACAAACATATTACAAAGTACTCTACATATGCTATTCGTTTGATTAATTATACACAATGTAGATAGCTGAGCAGAGTAGAACATAGGGTGAAACAAAAAAACCTTAAAGGAAATATACACAAAAATAAAATGTATTCGTTAACTCCAGGAATGAATTGGCTCGAAAGCAAACATAGAAAAAAATTTTTTTTTTTAAGTATACTTTATTACATTTAGGCTCAGTTTTAGTCAAGTATCTCGTAATAAGCATACATGTAGCAACATTACATATTGGCAAATTTACAAGGAATATTTAGTCATTGCAGTTTCATACATAGYTACTTTCAAAACTGTGAGTTTTGGTGAGTCTCTTGGGTCCTTTAGTTTAAGCTTACTTCACTGTGTGTAAGTTGACTACAGCTGATGAGTATTGCATAATTAATGTCGCACTACTTGTAATGGAGTTGAATAAGAATGTACATATGTATTATACAACCAAACTCCATTATAACCATTGTTTAAGTAGTACTTTCAATTCGTGTACAAGACGCTCTTATGTTGGCCAGGAGCCTTAGGCACTTAAGTCAATAGTCAAGATTGTATGTGGTTGGCCAGCTTTGAAGCAGGTGTTAATTATTAAGTTGGGTGTTGGAATTAAATCAAAATATTTCGGTTTGCAAATAATTGATTTGTTTTATATGCCAGATTACAACATCAATATTTACTGATACATTATGTTAGAAAGGGATATAATAGGGATAACTAATTATTTTTACTTAATTAACCAATATATAGTTAAGAAGAACTACTAATTAAAATAGTTTTGCATGCAAAATTTCATGGGCGTTTTTTGGTTAATTAGAAAGCTATATTGTATTTAAAATAATACGTGTGGTAGGATATTATGATTGAAATAGTATAGAATTAGTGCCAGAGGAAACAGAAAACTTCTGAGAATTTGCTTTATATTTAACTTGTATAGTTTAATTAAAAGTTTTGAAGTGACATCTGATAAATTTTTAAATTTCATTGTTAATGTAACTAAAAGAAAATAAGATATTCAGAAAATGTGAACGAAAGAAGTAAAAATTTATATAGTATGGGATTTAGTAAAACTAAATCCATTTTTCCCCTGTAAAAGGAGTTAGAAAATAAAACTTCTTACTAGAAAAATTATCAGCAAATTTTGTGATTGGATGGCACAAGAAAAATAAAATATACATTATTTAATGTTTCTTCAATAAAGGCGAAAACTCACGTTGGGCTACTGAAAACATGTATAGTTTTTATATAATTGTGTAATGGGGTATAGTTATGTTTCTGTGTAAACAATTACGGGTGTAAAACTGTACCCAATTGTGGAGCCAGATGTTCGATTAAAGTCTAATTGCATTGTGCAGCTGCGACTGGGGCGGGCGTTTGTCTTGAAATCGACGGGCTTTCTAAATGTGTATAAAGCTTTATACTTGTCGCCCAGCGAGGTTGTGCGCTGGGTTTGCGACCCGCCACGTAGAAACCACTCCTAATTAAAAAGAAACAACAACAACTCTACTTTTCATGACCACCAGAGCAAACGTAATAAGAAGTATGATTTAAACTCGTACACCTGGTGTGTTCGGTACGAAAATTGGGAAAGTTCCGATGTCCAGCCGGTTAATTTCCTCCTAATAGTAAAGACTGACTGACCGCCGTCCAAGAAATGCGATGGACGGGACAAGAACGGAGACATGTACGTCATTGTGATACCTGCTACAGTAAGTGTGGAATTCGTGGTGAGAGAGAGACTTCGAGTACTGCCTTTCACTCCAGTGAATGAACCTATAGTCACGGCCCCCCACTACGATGTAAAAATTTCACTTTTCGATTATAACGCCAGAGTGAACAAAGAAGGCGTCTTTGGTGCAACATTCAGAAAATTCAGCCTCCATGGGGAAACCTCTCCAAATGGGCTGATGCTGATCGACTTCGCTGGGCCAAGAAATATGATTGTCTGTGGTACTAACTTCCATCACAACAAAATTCATCAAGCTACTTGGTTGTCTCCGAGTCGAAACCAGATCGATCATGTTGTGATAAATAGACGTCATATCTCCAGTGTCTTTGATGTGCGTACCCTCTGAGGACATAACACTATCGCGCTCGCCTCTGTACCGCAAAGGACGCATATCAAAAAACGTACGCTAAGAAACCACTATCAGAACCGACAGAGGAATAGTTTGCTACTCAACACTCTTGCTCTCTAAGAACAGTCATCAGCAACTCGTCATAAGGGAAATCTGCGACGGCATTTCAAGCTCTTAATATAGAGTTGCAAGCGAAACCAATGGTTTTCTTAATAGTCGAAAGAAAAGCTGGTACGATGAGGACTTTCGTGTCGCAATAGAGAGCAAGCAGACATCTTACTCCGTCATCTTGCGATCGACAAAGTTGAAATGAAGAAAAAAGCTAGACGCATACGCAGACAAATAAAGAAATAAGCCGAAATGCATGAGCATGCACAGCTTGAGTAGTTTGTCGACCGGGGTAATGCTCAAAAATTCTACGAAAAGATGCGGCGAGTAACAGGATTTTTCGAGACGGGAGTATACCATTGAGGGACGCAAAGTGGTGACCTGGTGGCTGATGTTCAAGGCATACTTAAGTTATGGAGGAACACCTCTCCAG